TTCTCCTTAATGATGCACTTGTTTCACATTTTTATTATTACCAACCACCACAAACCAGGAATGTCCCAGTTTTTTATTTTGAAAATCTGGTCACACTATCTATATTGGAACTTTAAACCATGTTGTTGATCTGATTGTAAAGCCTTTACTTCACAGTCATGGAGTATTTGTCGCTGTGAGGGTGGCAGGTTCCCATGTGTTCAGACTGTATACACATTATAGTCCCCACAATTCCATAAATAGGCGCCCACACACAGAGACAAACAGAGCCGGAGGTTCGAGGCAGTTCAAATCCACAGACATCCAGTCATGCATACATCACACTAACGGTGACACGAGCAATGCATCCCTACACAAGCACGCATCAACGTAAGCAATAAGACGCTATATACATGCTCGGAGACACGCGCCGGCACGCATAAACGCTAACATGCATTATGCAAAGCTAGCAAGAGAGGCCCAACCCAATTATGTACAGCGTCTCGCGGCGGGAGCGAGGAGATACGGGGAGACGCGCATCCCCAGTCATTTGTATTCTGAATCATAAACAGCGACTTAAGCGAGAGTCGCTGTATTGCCAAACAAACCCGGAGACACACCTCCGCGCATCCAGGGGGCAGCAGAGTGTGAAATGCTTTAGTCACTCGTCACAGTTGGTAGTAGAGAATGCACACAGGCGCTTACGGAATGGCCGTAACGAGTGAGCGCGGATTGGGAGCAGGGCGACGCAAATAGTGGCTACGCAGCTAAGCTAACGGGATAAATGTAAGTGCACAAGAGTTTGATGGATTGATTTGTTTTTATTTCAAGTTTGTGCCAAGAGTGACACAATAATCATACACATACTACATATACATTCTAAACAACAGAAAAGCACATTTCTTGAAAAGGAGTGGGAACAACAAAACTTACATTAACCCACCTCGTTCATGACCGTTTCAAAAAGGACATGGTTGCTTATGGACACTGATCACGAAACTTTACAAATATTTACATATAGCTAAATAAATTACACACAAGTACTATATATACTAAAATACCAAAAATTTAACACATTTTTTTTTATTGTACTGTATTATGTTTTACAGTTATTTATCTCTGATACTCTTTTTTTCATTTATTTATTTTTTATATATACATATTTTTAGATCACCCAGTGCTGTCACTCACCCTTATCCCAAAAAAGTAAAAAGTTTTTATAATTTCTTTTGAAGTTGTGAATTTTTGGGCTCTGCTTCAGGTTTTCTCCCAACCCACTCCAAGAGGAAGGTGGATGTAAGAATTGTTGTGCTGTGTTTTTTTCCCATTTCCAAGTTCTACTACCAGTTCAAATAAAGTCAATCTAAACAACCTTGTCAGATTTTTCAGCATAACATATATTAAATGGCTCATATTACGCAATTTTTTGTTAATGTTGTTTCCCCATCACAAACTATGGTTGTTCCAATACCATTCCTGTCGTCGGCAAAAGCTCCGATCCTGCACATTTTTCAGGTATCGTATCAGTGAGTACTCAGACCAAATCACCGAGTAGTACAACTCTGTCTAGTCCAGTACAACTCTGCAGACTGTACAGCAGGGTCATCCACACTTTTTCAACATGCAAGCTACTTATAAAATTGACCAAGTCAGAACAATCTACCTACTACAAAGCCAAGCAAACTGCACTTAAACACTCCGCACCCACAGTTTGAAAACCCCTTCTTTAAGAGAACTTCCACTGGCACTTTACTGAAAAAAGTTTAAAAAATTGAAGAAAGTGGGTAGGATTTTTAAACCTGTTTTTTCAGTTTCCTACCTGGAGTTACATTCTCTTTCTGGTTTTACAGTGGGATTCAGCCTCTGCACATTTACCAAACACATGGCATGACAAACACAGATGCATTTGTGCACTAGCATTAGACAAACTTCAGCCAACATATTGCTGTAGACCTGCCTTGAGCAGACACTGTAACATAAATTTAGATTAATTTTTATTTTGCATTTCGTCTTGCCCTTCTAATCGAGCACTACGACATCAACGTATTGGGCACCCCTGCTGTAGGGACTCAGTGGAAGCTTAAATCACACAATAACACACAATAACAACAGAGAAGACATTTGTGTTACCTCTTAGATAGTTGTTAAAATAACTACTGCTCCCGAGAGTGCAACCCGACAACAGCGCTAACTCGGACTTTGTTTACTCTGCATTATTAGCCATGTGCTTCAAGGATGAGCGTCTTTTCAAAGGCCTAACTGTTGTTTTTTTATGTGCTTTGTGTGTGGATCTATTAAAGGCTCTATCGGAGAAAGTGACAAAGTAAAAGAGCAAAAGTGCTTAAATCAGCATTACAGCTCTACATTTCACTAATACTTTATTCATCAAAATGTAATTTATTTTGCAGGTTTTCATTAAAAATAGCCTTGTAGAATATATATTGTTTTACTCTTGTACTGTAACAAAATTGAGCAGTCATACACTATGCAGTATCAGTGAGTACACTAAGGTCAAGTATCAGATCGAATCCTAAAAAATCCCATACACCTTCACTAGAATCATTTGGATATTTTCAACCCTGGAATTGTGAACAAAAGGTAAAAGGAGCTGTTAACTTGAAAGCTACTTTTACATGACATCACAAGGTGGAACAGAGCATTTACAGCTTTGGAGATGAGACACTAATAATACAGGGTTACTCAAACATGTGAATGAAACAGAATACAACTCCAGGTCTGGTGTTGACTTTTTGAAGAGGTAACAGCGTTCTGACATGGCCTGAAGCTGAAGCTTTTTAAACTCAAGCTAAGGAAGTATTATTATAAAAGATGTCAAAACGTCGTCTCATGTCATGTCCCATTCGTAATAATAAGAATCCAACATAAAATGCATTCATTCTGTTTTTTATTGTACCTTTCTGCAAGTCATGATAGCAAAGATCCAACAGCAGAGTGCAGTCTCAAATCCCCGTAAATTGGCTCTAACTGCACCAGGAGAATGAAGGCGACTTGACCCCTGCTGCCTCGTTTCTGTGGAATAACGGCTAGATCAGGACTTACCTGGCCTCCGACGGTAACATCCAATCAGCCGTGTGAATGGGCAAGCAGAGCAGAGGGCGCTAACAGGCCAGCGCGTGCATGGGAGGCTGATGACGAACCTTGAGATGCTGCTCCATTTAAACCGTGATCAGGAAGGTTGAAGGGAAAGTCAGTCATTGTACTCAAGTTCAAGCAGGAAAGCCGTTACTTTAAAATCATATTACACAAAGAAGCCCTGCGTACCTTTTCTGAAGGGGTCCACCATCTGCTTGTTTCCATGGAGATGTTGACATTTTGCCCCGAGTGATCTACAGTGTGGCATTAAACTTGGTGTTTCTAGTCCTTAAAGAGGGCCTATTATGCTGAACCAACTTGATTGAGCTTTCCTTGTTGTAACATTGTTCCTTCGTCAAAAACATGCCTGAAGTGACTTTCTGAATCATTAGTGCATATTTGGGTGATATTGTGACCACAAGATCATGGGTTTTCCACAGATCTGACCTGTAACCGTGTCTCTGTGAAGGTAGTTTAAGCACACTGACACCCACCGGAAAAGTTATATGGTGCTGTGGTTGTCATAAGTATTGAAACTAGATCCCGATTTGCGCAGGTATCGATACTAGAGCGTGGATCGGGACGAATTTCTGTTCGAGCCCGGCTGTCATCCAACAGAGCAGTGATTGAATCTAACCCCAGCCTGATAGGCATTAAAATATTTGTGTTCTAGCCCAACTGTACCTGACATAATTAAAATCACACTATTTTCATAGGTCTACATATGACACACATAGGATATTGTTTGTGTGGCCTCTAAAGGACACAGAGACACAAAATACAAACTCAGGATATAGCAAAAATAATGAGAAGACTTTATTACTCACCTCTCCTAAAGTGGTAAATTTAAAGTGCAGCATCTAAACCACATTATCCATAGAAACTGTTTTCCAGTCCACAAAACGGCACTGTTAATCCAGTTTGAGACATTCTTTAAAAGTAAAAAGGCAAAAATAGTTGTGTGTGTTTACATCCACACAGCTCACGGATTGAGGCGAAGCTGCAGATTAGTGATGACTATTAGTGACTTCATTGCCAGTCTTTTATGCTTTAAAAATCCTGTATCTGAAGTATTGCACCACATTTCACAAATGATAATAACGCGGTTTTGAAGTGCAGAGCTCTGATCTTTTGAACACTTCAGAGTCTCAAAGTGAAAGCTTTTATTGTAGACAGGAAACAGCTGATGCATTGATGTGTCCGAGTCTGACCCAAGCCCAAACGTAAATTCAGACTGACTGTCCTGTCGAACTTCGGTTGGGTTCCCGTGCTCTAATCCAGACTAAAAAAGTCCCATTCACAGGACAGAAATTAACGTTTCCTGAGCAGCTTTAGAATGATCTTGAGCTGTATCAGAACAAATTTAAAGAGCACATACACTTGTATACGCTCATGGACCAATATGAACCTACCTGGACTACTGAGGATTACACACATGTAAGACCACATGGGAATCGAAAAGAAAGTACTTTTATTTAATGTTGGAAACCACATTATATTGTCTAAAGAGTTATTTTAATGATCATTGTGGTGTCAAACGGTGTTGAAAATCAAGTCCATTCCTTAGAATCGAAAACCAGTTTGACATGTTAGTATCATAGTAACACTAACTGTTTTACATTTAATTTTATGCCTGAGTGTTTTGCTGCCTGATAGAATATTTAGTGCCTCTCAACATGGACGCAAACAGATAGTAGTGTAAGAAATCTGCTGGGCCTTGTGTCTGTCCATTCCACATTACCCGCTAATATGGCAGCTGAAGGCGAGCGAGCGATTGCATTATTTCTCTGTTGATTTCCTGTCAGCGCAGACTGCAGTTTGACGTGCCCACTCTTCTGATGAAATTGGATTGTGATCGTTTTAAACCTGCGCACGGCACACTAGAGCGGGCCTCCTAATGTCTTCTGTCTTCCTGTTTTTTCTTCCAGTTCCTCCCCAGTTCGTGAAGAGGCCTTCCAACACGTACGCTCACGAGTCCATGGACATCGTGTTTGAGTGCGAGGTGAGCGGTTCGCCGGCCCCCACCGTCAAATGGGTGAAGAACGGAGACGCAGTTATCCCCAGCGACTATTTCAAGATCGTGGTAAGCGTTGCCTTTTTGAACTGGTTTTTTGGACTTTATTACCTTGGATCTACCATAGACCTTTTTACCTCAAGTCTGTACTTTCTTAGAAGTGTAAGTAGTGTGAATTTGCACCTAAGAGAGTTGAGGCGAAGAAAGACTGAAACATCTTTGATTCTAACAAATTCTGGTATGACTGGTCAGACAGTCGGGCTGCAAGGTTCATCGCAATCGAAATCAGAGTTTGAATGGACGCAATTAACAAATCGCAAAGGCTAACATTTTTGAAGTACCCTAATTTCCTTCACAAACAAAATCTTCTGTTCTCTTCAACATAAAAACTGCTAACACTGTAGTTCAGAAGTGTTCTAAAATGGTAGTCTTTGTCAGTTCTTATTTCGGTCTTTTTGTCAATTCTTCGGGAAGTGTTTAAAATATGAACTTGGAACAGAATCCTTTTGAATTGCAAATCTAATCACAATAGCAAATTTGATGTTTCCCCCAAATTGTTCAACGCTGTCAGTGTTAAGGCTCGCATTCCGTTATAAATGAGGACCTTACTGACTTTCAGAACATAGGAAAGACCAGGAGATCAACAATTATGGGTTTATTTACTCAAACGATTCGGCAATGTAAGCAAAAACATCAAACTGACTAACTTTGCATTGTTAAAGGTGCACTATGTAACTTTTTTTTGTAACTTTTGCTATATTATAGACTTTATTATTACCAGTTTTTATATTTTTCACAATTTGTTATTGCAATATACCGTATTTTCCGCACTATAGGGTGCACTCATAAGCAACCAACCCCATCAGAAAATGACTGCGCGCCCCCAATCCAAAGCGCCATATACACGAATCCACTCGGGTGTCCCAGCACGACTTCAGTAAACACTCAAACACACACGGAGCAGACAGCGACCGTACAGTGAAACACGCCCGCAGACACACTCATCACTCCACACCGACGAGGAACGGAACAGAGGAACGAACCGAAAAAGCGAGTGCAATGTGCCACTAGACACAACTGAACAAAAGAGTCACTGTGAACACACCGACAATCCGTTGGTCCCAGACAGCACCCTCCCTACACGCCACATCCAACTGTTGGGTTTCCTTTAAAGTCCGGTGCGGTTTATTTGTGATAAAAGTTTGAAAATAGACCATTTAATGATGATTTAATAGCGTCTTATAATCCAGAGCGCTCTATAGTGTGGAAAATACGGTAATATGATGTATGAGCTACTGTGTTCAAGTCATTTCCCTTGTGGCTCAGTTAAGTTTATCTAAGGGTCACCTGCTTGTTTCTATGGATACATTACTGCTCTGCCTGGAATGTTCCACAGGATGACTTTTACAAGCTCTACTTTACATTTATTCAATTACAGATCACCTGTAATTGAATAAATGTAAAGTAGAGCTTTTAGAAGTCATACTGTGGAACATTCCAGGCAGAGCTTAAAAACACCTAGAAAAACAACATTCTGACTGTGAGGGGGGTTGCTTCTCCACAGATCTGACCTGTAACTCAGTCTGGTTTGGTCTCTATGAAGATGGAAAGGTTTAATGCCATACTGTGGAACATTCCAGACAAAACAATAACGTCTCCATGGAGAAAAAAACATCTGACGGACCCTCCACAAGAAAAGTTACACAATGCACTTTTAGGTTTTGCAGATATCAACGTACAAACAAACCAGAGCTGTAAGAATCGGAATTGCAATTTGAATGGATGCATTAAGCGCATCGCAACGGCTGCAGTTTTGAAGCACCATCATTTCTCCCACAACAAAATACCCTGTCTTATTCTGCATAAAAACTGCTAACCCTGTACTTTAGATCTGTACAAACACCTCCTGAAATGATTTTCTTGTATTAGTTTGTCTCTTCCTCTTTCTGTGTTATCTGTTTCTGGACTTTTAAAATGTGAACTTTGAGCAGAATCCTATTAAATTGCAAATCTAATCACAATCGCTTGTCAGAAAAATTGCAATTAGAGAAGACAAAATGTCAGACTAACTTTGCATTTTGAAAATCCATCAAAGCACAAACATCTCCCACTGATTACTTCTCCAAACCAAAATATTTTACTAATTTGTCATGAATTTATTGAATTTAACCGAATGCATCCTCATGATTTTAAATTGCCTTTTTATTTCTGTCATCTTTATTTTTTTAAACATTATTCCAGCCATAAAGCAAAAATATCGGTGTCTCAGCTTTATGAAATGACAAGTGATCAAATGAGTAGCCTTCATTTCAAGTTTCATTAGCAGCTTGGGTCTAGTCTCCCCTTGTTCTTTTACATTAATGAAAACTCTGACAAAATGTGTTATTACACCAAATTAACACTGGGGGAGTGAATGAACATTGCATGAAGGTCTAAAGCCATTTTCCTTGTCCTGAAAAGTGCTACATAAGACTTATAGGGTTCTAGATTCAAAAAATTACCACATTTTTTATTCTAACGGCTCGCAGCCATGTTCAGTGAGAGAGAATGTTTCAGTTTTGTAGCATGTGTGACTGTAGAAAAAGATCTAAAGTTTCAAGTGAACATTGAAAAGTAGGGCACAGTACCCTGCCTCTCCATGTATCTGAACAAACTGTGTGTTCTTGCAGTACAGATGTACTGTCAAAGCAGCTCTTGGGATCAGAATGAGACCGCTGTGTGTAGTCCCCATATAAATACTGCATTTTATCCTCCTTGAACCAGGAAATGCACTAGTTGTTTTAGCTTTACTGTGTCAGACCATTCTCTGGCCTCTGAAGTTTGTGAAAAGAGGGTATAACTGTTCTCATAAGTTGCGTGTTTAAGACTGTAAAAATCAGATACAGTGCCTTTAAAGTAAAGTCATTCTGCAAAATTAACTTTTTCAATCTTTTTACCATGTAATAATTGTTTCCCCCTCTCATTTACCCTCTCAAAGTTGTATTTAGAGTGATTCGTGCATGTTTAAGTAATCTGTTCTCTTGTATTCAAGCCATCATTCAATTCAGTTCAATTGCTTTATTGTCATTGTCATCTAAAATAACAACAAATCCCCAAACTTAGACAACTAGACTTTTAAAATGTGCTCTGACAAGGGATTAAAGATATGTAGTAGTCTGTATTTCAAAGGTTCCATGAGAAGTTTTCAAGACTTGAAACAAACTTAAAATCTTGAAAACAAAGATTTCTACAGGTATCTTCAAACTCACCATTATTTGAATAAAAAGAAAAAAGAACATTGAGAAACCCCATTATCAGGCCTAACTAAAATATTCCTGCAATCATATCAGGTCCAAACAATAAATAGATTTACAAATTATATAAGGAATTACAAAATGCAGAGGGCGATAACTCGTTGTATATAAAGGAAAAATGTGAAAAGGAAAGTGAATTCAATATATAAGAGGAAGATTGGAATAAAATAATAAAAAAAAACAACAAATGGGGACATAAAAAAAAAGGGAAGGAAGGAACATCAGTGCTACTAAAATGTTCAAATATTTGTTTTTTCTTGTGTTTTTGTTGTTGTTGTTTTTTTTTTACTTTGTATTCTTAAAGGAAAATTTAAATTAAAAAAAAAAGAAAATTTTCAATACTACAGTAGAGAGAAGTGAAAGAAACCAAGCATGTGGTACAAGGATGAAGGGGGAAAAAAACTATTTGTACTCTTGTGATTTGTAACTGTCATCTCTATTCGAACATCAATAAAAATTAGAATCTAAAATAACAACAAAATGACGTTAGAGCATCCCAGCAACTGCACAGTATATTAAAAGAAGTGCATAATAGTGTAAAGCTCCCTCCCTATAACACCCACTATGTAAACAATAACACACAGTAATAGTAATAATATCAGTGCAATACCAAAGTGTGATGAACAGCAACAGTCTAAACAGCAGCAAAGTGGCAGATCAACAAATCAAATCAAAAGAACTGGAACATCAATGACAGGAGGCATCCGGCCAGATTGTGTATTTGAAATGTCCTGTTGCAGCAAAGTAAGGTCCAGTTCATCATTGCTCCAATTTATACTGCCCTGTAGTTAAATCATTCTCACTTTTTGTTTTTCTTAATCAGCTCTTGGCTCTTTGCTGTGCTGACGTTGTTTTATTAAGTCGTTTTAGACAGAGAGATTCTTGATCCTGAGTGAAATTCAACTTTTGCTGCCACATTTACTCTGCGCTTCTCAGTCAAAGGCCTCAGTATGGTTTAATAGGAGGACTGTTCAGGGAAGGTCAGCAGATCTGTCACTAGTTTTAGATGAATATTGCAATTTGAAATCTCCAAATTATAACGTAATGATCCACAGGAGCCATAGATTATAACTACAGAGCAGACACAAGCACACACTGCCCAGCCTTGTTTTTCACACAGCTAACTCTCTACACCTGATTTCCTCCACCACAGAAGGAGCACAACCTGCAGGTGCTGGGTCTGGTCAAGTCGGACGAGGGCTTCTACCAGTGTTTGGCGGAGAACGACGCCGGGAACATCCAGTCCAGTGCCCAGCTCGTCATCCTGGACCATGGTACGTGACCTCCTTTACCTTCTAACTCCAAAACGTATTCACCAAAGCCAATGCGACGCCCTGTGCTCCTGTCAGCTGCTGTAGACGGTAGATTTCAACACTTGCATACACTCCCCGTACTTTTAAATGGACGTAGACGTAGGAGGTCTTCTGTTAGCTCCCGCACTGGTCTTATGTCTTATTTATTGGCTGAGTTGTAGAGAGTGGTGAACAGTGAAATGAACCCAGCAGAAAGTGCTGTTCAAATTTGCACCCTTAAGACATGAGTTAGTGAAGTGTCTGCAAATGGAAATGTCTTTGTCAGATTAAATTAAAGCGGAACTAAACACCAAATCTACTTTGCAAAACTTTAGGGGGCAGGAGTGCTACTTGGATGTTGGATGTTTTCGCCACTCTACATGTACATGTCGTTTTAATAGCATTTTTTACAGTTCCTAGTCATTTTTTTTGTGCCAACTTTAGCACTAATTAACTGGGTTTGCGCTGCTTCAGTGGCCTCTGCAATTTCCAGTAGTTGGTGACATCACAAAAGACTTATCACAGCTAGAAGTTTCTGATTACAAACACATACCTGCAGGGGCTGCTCCATTTTCTTGAATACACAGACTTTGAGCAAGTATGTATCAGTGAAACTGTCACTGTGGGTCAGTTTGTTTGAACAAATCTCATCCCATAAGTGTAAGTTTCTCCCAAGTACGGTTACTATAGCAACTTCAGAGCTTCTGCCAAAGTATCTGGGCATGCGCTCTCTGAAAAACTGCTAAATCAGGGAGTGACAAGGTTAAAGGCTCATATTTAGATATTACTTTTAATTATAAATGAGACAGGACATTATTAACATCCACACATTGGAACTACCAGGAAATCCTCGCTTATGAATTTATTTACTCAAAAGCAAGGTCTATGAAAGCAAAAAAGTCAGACATCAACAAACTTGTTTTTGAGATCCATCGATATGTCTTTGTTTTTATACATAATTTACTTCAATGATGCACATGAAACGAAGGAGCTGATTGGTCACCTACTTTTCTATCACCACCAATGAACGGAGTTTAGTGATTCTTTAGTGTTTTTCAGTCTCCTGTAATATTTTTTCCTTATTTTTTTTTCCTTGAAAGCAGACATTTTTTATACAAACTGTCCATGCATGTCAGTGATTAAATAATCCACCTGTCGATCTCGCTCATCTGGACCGATTCACCTGTGACCAGACTCACGCCTTCGTAAAGTGTTGGAGAAGTGTTTATTCTGGAGCCAAGAAACTCAAAGCACGAACAGAGCACTGTTGATTAGTTTTCAGAAGCAAAACATTTGACTAATTTGACCTCAAACTTCCCGCTGCAGACTTCTTAAAGAGGATAGCTGAAGCAGAGCGCCTCACCTCCGCTCCTCTCTTATTCCTTATTTATGGGCCCTCTCCGCGCTCAGTTGTATGGCGATTGGTGAACAGTGAAATGAACCCGGTGGGATCTTGTTAAAGCAGAGGTGGCTGGGAGCGAACACAAACGCACCGTCCATTACACATGGCCCGGCGCTGAAGTGTACGCGGGCCTTTGAACGCAGCTCGGCACAGTGCAGCTGCTTTGATGTGAGATCTGAAGAGATGTAAACTGCTCTATTCTCTAACAGAGCGTAACGTATACTGTGAGTGAACAGAGCTGAGGGCGGAGGGACACACGGAACTCTACTTCACTACTTGTGTACATTTTGTGTACATGATGGAGTAGTAGTAGTTGCTGTAGTAGAGTAGCAATCTGTTTATTGAAGTGATTGAAAGGAGTTACAGTAATATAATACTTACTAAAGTGGTAAAGTGATTAGCTACAGAAGTACTATAGTAGTCGTTTTTTGATGTTTTAGTAGTTTGTAGTGCTATTATAGCAGTAGCAGCTGTATTAACTTCAGTAGTTGTAATTATTGTAGTAGTAGTTGTTGTAGTTGTAGTAGTAGTAGTTGTAGTAGTAGTTGTTGTAGTTGTTGTAGTAGTTGTTGTTGTAGTAGTTGTTGTAGTTGTAGTAGTAGTTGTAGTTGTAGTAGTTGTAGTTGTAATTGTAGTAGTTATAATTGCAGTTGTTGTTGTAGTAGCTGTAGTTGTAGTAATTATAGTTGTTATAATTGCAGTTGTAGTTGTAGTAGTTGTACTTGTTGTAGTTGTAGTAATTGTAGTAGTTGTTGTAGTTGTAATAATTGTAGTAGTTGTCATAGTTATAGCTGTTGTAGTTGTAGTAGTTGTACTTGTTGTAGTTGTAGTAATTGTAGTAGTTGTTGTAGTTGTAATAATTGTAGTAGTTGTCATAGTTATAGCTGTTGTAGTTGTAGTAGTTGTAGTTGTTGCACTTGTAATAGTTGTAGTTGTTGTAGCTTTAGTAATTTTAGTAGTTGTAGTTATAGTAGTAGTATTTGCAGTTGCTGTTGTTGCAGTAGTAGTTTAAGTAGTTGTTGTAGTGGTTGTATTCATAATTGCTGTTTAAGTAGTTGTTGGAGTAATAGTTGAAGTAGTTGTTGGAGTAATAGTTGAAATAGTTGTTGGAGTAGTCGTTGAAGTAATTGAAGTTGGAGTCGTAGTAGTTGTAATTACCATTGCTGAAGTTGTAGTGCGCTAGCTGTTGCGCTAGCAGTACTTGTAGAAGTTGAAGTAAAAGTTAAAATAGCAATTGCTGTAGTATTTGCTTTAGCAGTATGGAGGTAGTGATAGTGACTGTGTAGTAATATCCAACACAGTAAATTGACCTATTCGGAGCCGTGGTAAAAGTACTACTGCAGAATTCTTGTACATTGTTGTGTGTAGTCATTTATATCTAGAACATGGTTTAATTACTGGTACAGTTTTGATGTGACACCTAATACATCTTCATGAGTAATAGTATTTTTGAAGTATTGTCTAGCTCAAAGTCTTGCTGTGTACTTTCCTGTTGTGTACTTTGCAGTTTCTTGTACTCTCATTTTGTGCTCACAACTGAGTCGATATACAGCAGAGAAAAACAAACGCTCGTCTGCAGCTAAGAGGCGTAGCGCGGCGGCGGAACTAAGTGCTCCTCCGGTACAGCAGATGGCGAGGCGAGCATCCCGACGCCTCCAGGTGAAGTAACTGTGCTTTTATCGCCTTTGATCACAGCCCGCTAACGCTAACACTAGCACAAGTTTAATTTAAGATGATTTGAACAGCCATAATCATAGTTTCACCCGAGGGCGCGTCCAAAACAACAAAAACAACATGAAATTTACAATGCGGAGACAGTTTCACAGTGGAGCTGAAATGTGAGGAAATGTAGCAAATGGTCAGAGGTGGTAGAGTTGTTAAAAGTAGTACTTGAAAAAGAGTACAGATGAAAAAAAGTAGAAGTGTAAAGTAGCAGTGCAAGAAATAAGTATAAAAAGTATGAGTAACTCAATGCAGCATCTGATTTATACACTTTTGGGTAGAGTAGTAGAGTAATAAGTAAGTCAATATTTCATAATAATGTTACTCAAGTAGAAGTACAAAGTAGTGGTCCAAGAAATGACTCAAGACTAAAAAGTATTTGGGCAAAGTACAACTTAAGTAAAGAGTAACTAAGAGTATGTGGACGTAACATCTGATTTATAATTTGAAGTGAATGTAATTGGAAACACAAAACATTAAATAAGGCACAAAATCTGTTATTTTCTAATTATAAACACAACAATTAGACAAACTAAATCACATCTGAAGAAGCTGCAAGAAACACAAATGTTCAAATAATACATACATATTGTAACTAGGGGTGTAACAGTACACGTATTCATGCCGAATCATATCAGTACTGGACGTTGGGTTTGGTGCAGCACTGAGCTCGAGTGAATTTGCACAATTTGTGTGTGTTTGCATTTCCCTACTACATGTGCAACTACATGGAGGCTCAGCTCTTTAATATTCACAAGGAAACTCGTCCGTGATTGGGGCAGTGTTTCCCACAGCGCTTTATAGTTAGGGCGCCACCTTGACAACAGTTGCCCTCCGCTTTGACTACGTCCCTCTAAACTAGAGCCCAACCGATATGGATTTTGTTGTGGCCGATATGAAACCGATATAATGGGAGTTGGCGCTGCCGATAGCCGATATAATCACCGATATATTTAGTGAGCGTTCCTCACTCTCGCCTTTCACTGATAGAGAATCTCCACCCACTTATTTGCGTATTTTAGAATCTTTTATTTAACTTATTGGTATTACCAAGCTGCACTTTGCATTTATTTTATTTTCCCATTTGTATAATGTTAAAACAAATTGTCGGTTTAATAAAAACACAAATAAACAACAAGCAAATGGTTTTACATTTTGTTCCCATACTGAACTGAAAAACCAAACTGAGACCTCAAACCCGATGTACATACTGAACCATGATTTTATGTTCTGTTACACCCCTAATTATAACATAAAGATTTTGTCACTTTAGACTTTCTCACAGTGGGAAGAGGAAGCACAACTTTTACTCAAGTACGAGCGCTGTTACTCAAGTAGGAGTAAAAGTACACTGCTAGAAAAGTTCTCTCTAAAAGTGACTCGGGTAAAAGCAAGTGAAGTCCTCCCCACCTCTGCAGCTGACGATTTCACACAGAAAAATCAAATTATGCGCAACTATTACAAAACTGCAGAGCAATCAAGTCACTGTTTACACTAAATGTTTTTAAAGACGCAATTTGTAATCAAGTGCCGCCCCCCGCCTCGCGCCCTGAGCAGGTGGCTAATCAGGGAGCGCGAGGGGCCCCCAGCTGTGTCAGGGGCCCCTCCATCACAGAGCGCCCGGTCAGATCTAATGACGACCTGCTGCTCTTTGTGGCTCTGGTGCGGCCCCGTGGAGGAGATAAGGAGCGCGGCGCGTTCACTGGCCCTGGGAGAAAGGAGACGGGCGCAGAGACGTGGCGGCAGAGTTAATCAGATTAGGCCACACCAAACAGTTGTTGGTTTTGAAGAGCTTGGCAAAGGCCCAGAGCATAATCAGGTTTTAATCATTCAGCTTTTGTGAATGTGAAAACAAGCA